TTATCCATCACCATGAGACGAACACGATCAGTGTTTTACTCTGTGCTGGCAGTTACTGGACGTTCAGAACCCTTGGGTCATCTTCAAGAATCTGCCTTCCCATCCTAAATTTACTTGTACACATTTGCACTATTGATAAAGCTGGAGCGTCATCTCCTAATAAATATAAAAAAAATATGTCAACCTGAATGTCCTTGGGGGCTGAACCCTTTTTCTTTCGGTAAAGCACAATGCCAAATTTTGTCCATTTCCAAGATAAGTCGCTACTCGTTACATTTGAAGATTTCTTAAAAAAAAAAACAATGCAGTTATTAATAAGATGATTTGGAATTAATGAATGATTTCACAGCTCTAGCATCAGTCCTTCATAATCAGCATATGAAATTTTTAGCAACCTTCGTTTCTTTAGACGTAGCTTGTTTGTAGGCGATATCAGCTCTTGAATAGAGGGACTTTAGATACCTTAGCCACAAAGTGATCTACTCATCTCAACATAGATCAATTACGATACAACGTGTGGTGGAGGCAGTTTGAAATAGTATCGGATGACAATTTTTTATTTATTAACTTTCGAGTGCACAGGCCGGCGATTTCATTCCCTCTCTTAAAAAACAGATCGTCTACTCAAAAACTTTCATCAACTAAAATCTAATGTTTAAAATATTAAGAATTTATGTTGGATTAAAAATAAAATTCTATTAATTCCTTCTTAATTACTTTGTTTTCATTCAAGATATGAATATAATAGATATGGGCTTTCGAGAATGTTTCTACGAGAAGATATGCATTCGTTAAAAGAGTATTCAATATTACTGCGCAGTGAAGTTCCCTAACGCAAGCTGGGCTAGGCAGTGTTTTCTCTTACAAATGGGAGGCAAGTTCGGTCATTTTCTTTATTAAAACTCTACAGGCCGGTAGATGTATTATACTTTTTCTAAGAACAGTTAGACGTCTATTCAAACAAGCGTATCCACTAAAATATAAATTTTAAAATAATAAAAAATACATACACAAATTTATGCGTGTGTTTTTGTGCGTGAGTGTGTGAAGCAGTTTGACAACATTGATGCTTAACTTGCCAAAATCCCATTACTTGTAGACACCATTATATCTGAAAAATCAACATTTTATCCAGTAGGAAAATCAGCTTGTCCAGAAAACTATATGATGAATAACATTGCTTCATTCAGATGAATCAACTTAATCATTGTCTTTTTTTCAAAGGATAAATTTCTATATTTTTTTTCAGGTAATTATTAGCAAATATAAAGTTTCCACAATCTTGATAACTTTGGAGAAGGGCCCAATTTAACATCAGGAAGACATTAACTATATTTATACCCTGAAACTTACCAGAATTTGGATATTTGTACTATTGATAACATTACAGCCAGTAAATTATGGGTGAGAATAATTCTGCTGTTATAAGAAAGAAGAATATACACACACAAAAAAAAAAACCGGTGTAGTTTATGAAATATTCAGAACTAGCCAAACAGATTGCATCTGCAAAATAATCCCATTCACAGATTTGATAGTGTAGATGCATTCTACTTCAGATAATGATAGTTGTTGGTCTTTAGTATTCATTCTGTGAAATCTGCAGACAGAAGAACCTCCAGCTGGCCATAGTCCTGTCCATTGACATATGTTAATCGTGGTATTAATAAAGTATTGTGTTAGCACGACTATTCCAGAAATTGTGAGAAGTTTTTGTTTTCGTAAATGGCTGTAATGGAGAAAACCATAACCATGCAATGATGTCGTTTTACTAGTCGTAATACATTCAGGGTCGTTACGCTCAGATGGTTCAGAGACTTCCAGTGAGTCGGGCACAGTCATCTAACACGTAACAGAGTTATTATATTAATAAATTTCAAAGAGGAAAATTGTTGCGATGTCGATTGAATAGGATGGCTGTTTTCAAATCTTCTTTAATTCCGCCATCAAAATTAGAAAATCTTCATTTGCTGCAAGAACAAATAATGACATATTTGTGCCAGCATCTATACCTAGTAGTCTCTGTAAAATTTGGGCTGCTTTAAAATGAAGTTGCCCAAATTTCACATCCTGATCATTCTCATAATCGGGAATTAAGGTACGTAAAATATTTGAAGCATTATCATGACTCTCATGAGACAAACATTTATTAACAATCGACACGTAACCAAAGTGAAGAATCTGACTTTGAAGAAAACCTATGGCAGTGAATGTTGGACATTTTCCTCAAAGACGAAGAAGATACTTGAAGCAACAAAAATATGATTTTACAGAAAGATTCTGAGGTTACCATTGTAAGTAACAACGTGGTTTCGTGACGCTGAATAAAATAGATGGTTCTTTTAAAAGATTTATTAAAAATAAGCAATAATATTTAATTTAATAAACAGTTTATATGGCAATCTGCTTTAATCTACTTAGAGATTAACCGATATAAATTTTTGCTGTTTCATCCTGTTAGAGGCTATAATCTGGCTAAGGAATGGTTTGTCTTGTCTTTATTCTTTGTGTATTTCTGTTAATATGATTAGATGCAATACTGCAGCAGAATTATCGGAACTTGACAAAGATTCTCAGTATCTATATTGTAAATAATAGAATTAAATTATTTAAATATTAAATGATTTTAAAAGATGCAGACAATCTTCAACTTGTCCAAATGTTGATCTAGTTGTAATTTTTACTTTATGATATTAATAGTTTGGATTTACGAAAAAAATGAAATTCTATTATAATTTAAAAGCACAATCTACAAGCAAAAGTTGCTCCATCTGATTTCGTTTTTAATCAAGACATTTTCTGAATTGCATCATTTTTTCACAATATCTCTCGGGAGATTTATTTCAAACAAGATTATCCACTAAAAATAATGTTAAAATAATAAAAATGTTGCTTAAAAATAGATGCATTAATTCTTTAGAAATTGAAATCTTTACGTTTCAAATAAGAAACTGCGTTATTATCGGCTTTTAATAATAACTGAATGAGGAAGTGTGCATTCCTTAAAAGGGCAAATCAAGTCTTTCTGAGCTTTGTCTCTCTCGGTGGCCATGCTGTCTGAGGGTTTCTCCTACAAAGAGAGACACAGGTTTCTTTATTAAGTTGTCTTGAGTGCGTAAGCCGATAGAAGTAATACACACTATCTAAAATAAAAATAAAAAAATATTTGGATGTTTATTTCAAACACCAGTCGTTACGTTATGAAAATTAGTTTTGAAATAAGAAAAAAAAATATAGATTTATAATTTTCGTTATAAATGCTAACGTTATAAAATTTGCACAGATCACTCTATAAAGTACAAAAGTTAAAAACTACAGGACATAAAATATACTAAGAAGAAGAAGTGTAAGAGGAAGAACATCTCTTCAGATAAGCCCCCCCCCTAAATTCCGAGCTTATAAATTTCATGATAAAAATAACAGTTTTAAGGTATTCTATATTTATAGATAAAAGTGTTCAATATCATTGATAGAGCGTATGTAAAAAAAATGCACTCATGTTAACATAGTCTTGTGTGCAATCTTCTGCCACACACACACACACACACACACACATATATATATATATATATATATATATATATATATATATATATATATATATATATATATATATATATATATATATACGTAGTACTTTAGTGGAAAGCGCTCAATATCGTTGACAGAGCTAACATATTCAGCTGTATGGATATGCGTTTGTGAATCTGGGTTTCATGCTTTTTGCGATCATCAGACAAGCAGTTTGTCTGATGATCAAAACGTAAAGCCAATCTAAACCCATATACATACAACTGAGTACACACACACACACACACAGACACAGACACACATACACACACACACACACACACATATATATATATATATATATATATATATATATATATATATATATATATATATATATAACCCAATTCCAATCCATCTCATTGTGATTCTGACTCTCTGTTTTATATTTTAAGCAATGCTCCCATCCTTAATGTCTAATTCAGTAGTAAAAATAATTTTCTTTCCTCTACGTTTAATCTCTTTCCACATCTTCTCAATAACTTCCTCCTCTCTCTCTATCGCACTAATTCGTTTCTTCTCTCTCTTGTTTTTTTTTTCCCCTTTTAACTTCTTTTTCTTCTAATCCTTTTCTATCTTTTCTTGACATGCCGGTCTGTCATATTATCTCTCAATACATCCATCTTCTCTTTTTTTTACTACCCTGTGTCTCCGTCCGGCCCAAATACATTGTCGGATTATTTAGTCGAAGGCGCGCCATTCATCAACAATACAAGGAATTAAATTCTGACTGTGAGTTATGACCATCCGGGCATTTCGCAGCGCGCAGCACGATTTGCATTTTCGCGCGCGCGGGAAATCGCGCTCACGCGCACGCGTCATACTCCGCTTCGCCGTTCGTTTATTCGCACGTACAAAGGGTTGTATTTTTCATAATCTGCAATATTCTTTATTTTTATTTTTGCTTAAGGTCATCGCTCCCTTTTTTTAAGATATAAGAGAAAGGAGAAAGAGGTTGGGATATATAGAAAGACAGAGAAATAAAGAGAATTAAGATAAAAATACTGAGTAAGAGAGAGAGAGAGAGAAAGAGAGAGAGAGAGGGGGGGGAGAGAGAGAAGTGATAGATAGAGGTGCGTAAAATTTGAGTAATTAAGATTAACTTCTTTTGTTCAGGTTAAAGGCATAATGAGGCAACGAATAGCCAGAAGAAAAAGAAAGAAAGTTTTAAAAGAAATATTGTTTTTAAAATGATATTATTTATAAATAAATATTAAATATAGGGCATAATAATAGATACAATATTAAGAGTTTTCATTCAACATGTTTCGTTTGTCTTTTTTCTAACATGTTTTTAAATAAGTGTATGAAATATATCCTTACGATTTAAAAAGAAAGAATGGAAGAGATAGATAGAAAGAAAGAAAGAAAGAAAGAAAGAAAGCATATCTGAATAATTAAAAAATATGAAAGATTTTGATGGAGACGTTTCAGAAATGTGTTTTATGCAAAAGAGAAAGAGAGAGGGAGAGAGTGATAAAAAACGTAGAGGTGAAGGGAAAGAGAAAGGAAAGGCGAAGAGAAAGAGAGAGAGAGAGAGAGAGAGAGAGGGAAATTAGAGGCGAATATAAAGAGAGAGAGAGAGAGAGAGAGAGAGAGAAATGTAGAGGTGAAGAGAAAGCGAGAGAGAGAAATAAAAAGGTAGAGGTGAAGAGAGGAAGAGAGAGAGAGAGAGTGATAGAATGGGAGAGATATGACTTAACAGAGTGTGAGTCTTGAAAACAAAATGAACAAATAAGAAAAGAAATAAAAAAGTAATAATGATAATAATAATTCTATGTGTATATGCGTGTATGTGTATGCACACGGTTGAGCAAACTCCTAACAAGAAATTCAATTCATAAATAGGGTATGTAACCTTACTGGTTGATACCTGGTATCTCGACTTCAATCACATTCCCACCACACTGACGTAGGCTCTCTCTGACATCTCTATAAATATTTACATGTCTGATGAATGAATTAAAGTTTACTTCTAGATTGGCAACTAGGTCTCATAGTTTTACTGTTTTAACTAGCAAAATATAGTATTATATAAGATATGATTAATTGTACTGCATTTTTATGAATATACTTGCAAACATAAACGGAATACATATGTAATCAAGTAAATCCGTAACCTAAAGAACAAAACAAATATTTTTCAAGATAATTTCACTAAGCCGAGTTTTCTCTATTATACACATAGATCGAAAATCATATAGGATGAAATTTCAGATAAAAATTCATCTAAAAACTGTCAGTGTATGTAATAACTGATTCTTTTTATTGTTAAAATTTGCTTGTTTGATAGATGGAGTGTACAAAATACAGGGTGTCCAGTAAAAAAGCGGTAAATTCAGAAATATATTTAGGGATCACCGTAAGTTCTACTCTAATAGTTTTTTTTTTTCACTCATTTCGTGAAACTTCCTCTTTCATGCTTCACTGCCACCAACAATCAACAAATATACAAATGCAAGGACAATCGCCATCTTCTGTGTTCCTGAAACCTGTACATATTATTGCTGTTTCTCCTCAGTTTAAAGTTTTCTCATTCTCTTTCACTTCCAGTAACGCTTGTAATATTACTGGCTGGCTTGCGGTGAAATGTTTATTAAAAACTCAGTTTAGCAATGAACGATTATCAGAAAGATTTTCGAAGACATTGTGAGGCTTAAAGAGATTTTGGAAACGATCTGCCGAGTGTTTTGAAATTCGTGATGAATCCGTGGGAATAACAGGAAGTAACATTTTCGGTTCATGGTTCGAGGTCATGCTTCTTCATCAAGCCGAGAACTTTTTCAACACACGATCACACACACAGACGAACACACACACATACACACAAATGCACACACACACACACACACACATATATATATATATTGTTCTAGTTCCACCTGCTATGCCATGCCATATTCCAATTACCTGAAGAAGGCCGGAGCGTACAGCGACCTAAACGTTTTGAACATATATATCTATATATATATATATATATATATATATATATATATATATATATATATATATATATATATATATGTGTGTGTGTGTGTGTGTGTGTGTGTGTGTGTGTGTGTGTGTGTGTGTGTATATATATATATATATATATATATATATATATATATATATATATATATATATATATGTTTTGTGAGGGGAAAGAATACAAAACAAAAAAGTAAAAAAAGAGATCTGAACAAGAAAAAGAGAAAAGAAAAAACGAAAGAGAAGGAGAGATAGTAAGTAAAATAAAGAGAAAAATAAAGAGAAAAACCATGAGTGAAATCGAACAAGAGAAAAGGAAAAGAAATAGACAAAAAAGAAAACGCGGTAGTAAGAAAATAAAAGAAAAAAATAAAGAGAAAATTCAAGAGATATCCAAAAATGAAAGAGAACAAGAGAAAAGAAAAAGAAATCGACGAAAACGAAAAGTGACAGATAAAAAGAAACTAAAGAGAGAGAGAGAGAGAGAGAGAGAGAGAGAGAGAGTGAGTGAGAGAGAGAAAGAGAGAGAGAGAGAGAGTGGGGGGAGATCAAGGGAAAAGTAAGTTTGAGTGAAATAATAATAAAATAAAGGCAACAATTCCTTCAATAATGAAATAAATCAGAACAGAAAATAAAACAGAATCAGAAAAATTTCAACGTAGGCAGGAATTATAATAGTGGTTAAAATCGAATTAAGAGTTAATGGTTATTTGTTAGCGTGGCTTAAATGGGTAATAAGGTCGAAAGTATAGGGCACCTAGTGAGTATCGAACTCATTTTTCAGTCGTAACTGTTCTAGGAAGACAAGCTTGTTAACCAATACACCACAGCGAAGTGCTTATCGCAAGTCTTAATGGTGGCTAAATGATATCTTCACGGAAAAAAAATCATTAACATCAAACTAATTTGCTATTGGCTTCTCAATGATATAAGCTTAGTATTAACTTTTAGTGACTGTTGTCAATTGAATAAAATATGTCTTTGTTTTCATTTAAACGCAAATATTAACGAACTTATCAAATTTAATTGACTGTGAGGATAGACATAATCAAGTTAATTTATACTTGCATGAATATATATATATATATATATATATATATATATATATATATATATATATATATATATATATATATATATATATATATATTATATGTCTATATAGGCCTATGAAAGAAATTCTAAACAAAATTTAAAAATAATAATATCGATAATCAGACTAAACATATTTCTTGCATATTAGTAGGTTTTTGGGGACAAACGGAAGCATGACAAGGAAGTTGCTAAAAATCGGAATTTTCAAAACGCGCACTTGTCCTTTCAGAAACTGAAATGAAAAAAGAAGTGTGAATTTTCTGTATTTATTATATTGCCAATGAGATGTAGTAGTATTGGTCTATTTGTTTGCTACGGGTTAGGGTTAGTATGTATGTATGTATGTATGTATGTATATATGTATAGTGAGAGAGAGCGTTTGTAGGAATGAATAGTGTGGATAAAGTAATCAAAAGTGCATGGTGACTGTCAGTTTCAAACTTTAATTCCATCCTTAGATCAAGAATCCTTGAGGGTACCCAGTAAAAAAAAAAGTGGTAAATTTATTCTTCGATAAAATACACCATCAGCTCTAATTGGTCCATCACAATGGCCCTCTAAAAGCCCAGATTTAAATATTATGGATTATTGTATCTGGACTATACACCTAACTGGCTTCCAAAACTGTCGTCGTGACATCGTCGACATTGATTCATTGAAGTGGAACTTAAAGAATCGTGGAATGAAATTCCTCTTGACACTATACACAAAGCGTCTGCCTCCTGCTTACCACGCTAGCAACTTTAAGTTGGACATTCAGGCAAAGATTTCGAACATCTAGGATGATTGTCAGTTTGTGCATGACTCATGATCGCTAAATATATTTCTGAATTTGCCGCTTTTTTTACTGGGCACCCTGTATTTTGTACACACACTTTATCTATCAAAGAAGCAAATTTTAGCAATAAAAGGAATCAGTTATGACGTACAATGAGAATTTTTAGACGAATTTTTTATGTGAAATTTCATCCTATATGATTTTCGATCTATGTGCATAATTGAGAAATCTTGAAAAATATTTGTTTTGTTCTTTAGGTTACGGATTTACTTGATTACGTACGTATTCCGTTTATGTTTGCACGTATATTCATAAAAATGCAGTACAGTTAACCATATCTTATATAGTAGTATCTTCATCATTATTTGCAATACTTTAATATTTTTTGAGTAAAATTATGCAGGTTTTAATACAAAAATGTTTCGATGACCTCTAGAATCTAGTTTACGTGAGAGAAACCTTTTCCCCCTTCTATGGATTTTATAAAAGGTTAATAAAAGAGTTGTCTTGTGCTATTCTTGCTGCATGCGGCCGTGTCATGGAGGGGAACAATATATTTCTTATTCACAAGCGATACAAGGCGCTCTTCGATCAATCCTTTATAGACATGTTGCAACTTCTGGATGTATAAATGTGCATTTAGTTTTTCATTTTCGTTGTAAGGACTCTAAATTAATAATACCACTAGGATCCCAGCGCGCGCATAACATTTTCGTCCTTCTATGTAGTACAGATTTATCATTGTCAATTCACTGTATTTTGCATTGTAACATTTTCGTATATAACCAATTATTCATTACTTGTCGAGACATAATTATCAAACTTGTTATTTTTCTGTTGTTAAAGAAGATTTGTTGATTTACTTTAAGGACGCGCTTTGTTACTTTCACTTCGAGCGTGTGGAACCAAAATATCCAAGTTGGTGGCAGGTGTCTTGAATAATTGGAGGCATTATTTACATTATTCGGACTATTGTCGTCATCTTTGTCGTCATATTTATTACACCGTTTCGGCCGTTGTACGCTCCGGTCTTCTTCAGGTGGTTGGAATGTCGAACTGACCCCTTTATTTTGCTCACTGGGGTAAACTTAACCGGTTACGAAAGTAGAGAACATGGAGAGGGGTATTAACAGGAGATAACTGATAACTGACACCCATTAAACATGGCACGTGGAGCTAGAACAGTCTGCCACAGTGAGCGGAATAAAAGTTTCCGTTCGACATTCCAACCACCTGAAGAAGGCTGGAGCGTACAATGGCCGAAATGTTGTAATAAATATGGCGACAAAGATGAGGACAATAGTCCGAATAATGTAAATAGTGTACATAATAGCTCATCTCAGAAATATAGACAGATACTGAAGTGGAGGCATATTGTAGAATGTGTGCGTATAACATCTTTCCTAATTCCGAGAAGTTTCTCTTTAAAACGTTATCATCAAAGGCCAATGAACGCTGCAGTCTCACTTCATCTTTCCATGATGTTTCTACAGAACAAATCTTTTCCTAATAATTTTAATTTATCGGTTATTTACATTTATATATATTTTCTAATTAATTAGTGGTTTTAATGAGTTTATTTTTAATCCGCTGCAGAGGTTGCCACTGCCATTCAAAGGAAAGGCAAGTTAGATTAATCCAAATTTATTCATACTTGCCACATATGATAAACAAATAAGATGACATAGTCGTCATTACAATTGATTCCTCCAAACGGAAATTACTTATGACGCAACCTAATATATGAAAGTGTAATACACTAAAGGTATTTGAGAACATAAATGAAAGAAGGCCTAACGGAATATTATGCAGCCTGTACCAAATTTAACATTCAATTTCAGGAGTATCGTAAAGATTAATATGACAATTTATCGTCTGACACTAGACAAGGAAAGAAATGATGTGTTCGTGACACAAGCTGCCAATTACAGCGACTCGGAGGTACCATACATGAAAGTGTCCATTTGAACGGGAAGATAGAGGGATGAATTTGTGCGGACATCACTGGGTTACCCACTGTGATAACCTCTTAGCTGACGTCGTTTGTAATGCTGATGGGGGTAGTGAGAAACGAGGGACCTATCATATTGACCCCTATCTTCCTGCAAGGCCCCAGATTTACGACCAACTCCTATACAAAGGAGATGGACACATCGACCAACGATCGAGGGATTTTATAGAAAATAATTGATATTAATACTATTAATTTCATACTTGATGTAAATATTGTAAATACTTAAGAAATAGAATTCATATGGAGAAATAAAGAAATGGTTTCTGATGCCTGAACTTTTTGTCAAAAACATCAGAAAATAATACATAAAATATTGGGCAAATAACGATAAGCAGTGATTAATATTTAATAAAATTACAGTATTTGATATGAAAGCTGTCAGATATTTGATATGAAAGCTGTCAGATATTTGAAAGAAATTGAGGGCCGCGTCTTGTTTTTTCTTGTTTCTGCAAACAATTTTATCTTCCTCCTCTTGACAAATCGTGTGAAGTTCATTCAAAATTTTCTGATTCCTCTTAAGAATACAATGTTAATCACCTTCCAAAGATTTCTTATGTGAGTTAGGTCAGTCGATTGACACATACATTCTAAAACCCTTAATATCTTCGCCTGAAACCACGTGATACACGTTTAGCCGATCATGTCTCTTTCGATTCATTACTTCGGATAGAAGCACTTTCTTTTTTATCAAAGGACCATCTAATATCCTTTCGATGATATACTGTGAGTCCATATTTATGGACGAAATACAAAGACCAATCAGATTTTCACTAACGTGTTTAGCTATCAGAATGGTATTTTGGAAGTCATATGAAATGGCCTTCTTTCTCCAGATGTGACTCAAGAATGGAAAACTTGAGCTCAGTGAACATATTTCGACATCCACTTTTACAACTATGAGTGGTAATTTTGACATGACGAAATTGTTGCGAGAGATTATCATTGTAAAAATCTTCACACTTGTAAGCCAACTCTTCAATAACAGTTATAAATATACGAATACGTTTTATGTCTTCCATCATAGTGCATGCTGGACTCAAACTGATTGACAGAAATTAGCTAATTATTAATTTGAAGATCAGTAAAGCTGCATTTATTATTCGACTTCATTAATATTTTCGAAATGTGTTCAGGACATCTGCCCGGTATTATTTCTTTTATTTAGTATTACATTTTTGTAGGAAAACATTTCTTCATTATTTTATATATTCAGCACAAATTTGTTCTTCGTAGTGACAATAAATATCATCATTTAAATATCAGTGTTCAGTCCTGTTATATATATATATATATATATATATATAGTAAAGGTAATAAATCCGTTGGTATATAATCCAAGCGGATCCTAGTAGTATAAAATATTAAAACTGATTCACAATAATAGTACACAATATAAAATACTTATATTGGACACACTTGCACCACACTCTCTCACAGGTTAGCCATTCACCTATCGCCCACATCGACTAGCAAATCATGAATGATCAAAGTACAGCTATCAACATAATACAAATACAAGTAGATAACACCTAAATTCTCTACAGCACCCAATGCAAGTGAAAGTTTAAAACTATAGAAGCTATTCTTATACTAAAATAAACAGCCCGCATTAAATAAAATATCATTCAACACAGGAGAAGGGATCTTGAAGTGCATATGATATAATTAATATGTGTTCATATTTTATCAGTATTATAATAATTAAATAAAAAAATAAAAATAAAAATTTAAATTAAATAAATAAATAAATAAATAAATCACATTCTTCATATGCGGCCTTGTTCCCAATAACCGTTGCACGTGACGTCACGCTAGACCATTTCAAACGTCCATCTTCGCAAAGAATAGCAGGAGGCAGACAAAAGAATTTGAACAACAACACAGACACCACATCGTTTCTTGATAATGACTGGGAAAATCGTAAGTTACTTGAACAAAAATAACAAAATAAAAACTTAAGACAGTTATCCAGAACTTCGAGCGCGATATTCAACTCCTTATCAGAAAATTGAAAAAAAAGCATTAAAAACTTTAAAAAAACAGACCTTGTCGTTTCGACAAGGTCTTTTTTTTAAAGTTTTTAATGCTTTATAAATACCGTGGAGGCACGGTAGAGTAATGGATAGAGGCTTGAATTGAGGAATCGGAGAGCCAGTCGAATCCATTACATTCACTTGGGAAAGGTGTGAAACCTCTTCTTCTCCCCCCGGTATGGGTAAATAGCAGGACAGACTGGGTTCATAGCCTTGGATGGAAACTGGTCTAGGAGAAGGACAACTCTGAATTCAAAACCTGCGGAGGGTCGTTTGGGGACCTTGTGGCACTTAGTGCACCAGGTCTCTGTATTCGGCCCTCCAAAAAGTGTAGATGGTCCTGTACGAAACCTTCACCACTATAATCAAATCACATGTGCTGTTGTCGGGCTGTCGGTTTTCTATGAACTGATCTGCTTGACCCTCATACGTCGAATTCGATGGGAGAGTCGAGTATATATATATATGATATTTTTTTATTTAGTTAATTTAGTTGGCGGCAGTAAAATGAATCCTTGTAGCAGATTATAATTTGCTTGTTTTGTTTTGTTTTTTAACTGTTTAGTTTTAACTTAGATATTTGTAACAAAACCCCAAAATCTCTGTACTATAAGTATTTCTAAACATTTGTGCTATATTCATCATTAATTTTGTTTAGAGTTGGATGTTATTTTTTAATAAATTATCAATTTAAATGTCCCTTGCATCTCCGAAAAAATGTGCATGTATATGTTTGTCATTCTTCAATAACACTATCAAGACGGCTCATTCTACACATGAATGATTCATCCTCCAATGGACAACATCTGCAAAAAAATTTCAATCTACATTCACAATTTAGAACTATATTAGTCGACAATAGCTGTATACTTCACCAAGAACGTAATAAGGAGAAACTACAAATTCTCTAATCCATCTTTATTAAAAATCAAAAACAGCATATGTCTAGTTATTTTCATTTTAATCCTCTCAAATTCACGCATCAATTACAAAACAGCGATTATACAAAATTTAATAAACCATACAAACGCTAACTCTTCTACAAAAAATATTTTCTATACGGGATTAAAAACATTAAACAAACTCTCATTATTAATGAATTTCCTAATTTCGTTTTTGATGAACAATTTAGACGAGCTATTAGAACATAATATTATAACATAAACAAATAAGAACATAATACTTCAGTAAATAGCCCTAAACGTATTAACCTACTATACCGCAGTCAAATACACTTTAATTACAAACGAGACGAAAAAATTCTTAAAAAATCATGAGTTCTATTATATCCACATTGATCGCAGTAAAAAAAACATGAAATTAATCATACAATATACTTAATACAACCAACTTAATCATCCATAATAATTCTTCCCCGTCAACTAATGCTTTGCAAAAGAGCAACCTTTTTATATCAATTAAAATGTCCTTTGAGAAATTGTATCTCTAACAAAAACTTAAATATATATGTTGGTTTCACTACGACGACACTAACAAGAAAGCTTATTTACACATGTCGGATTCAAGTTCTGTTGCACAACATTTACAAAAGCATTCCTGTTCACATTCGCGTTTTACAGAAATATTAATCGTTAATACAAGTAAGTGTTTTGAAGTTCCGGATGAATCCGGGGAATAACATGAAATAACATTTTGGGTTCATGGCTCGAGGTCATGCTTCTTGATCAAGCCGACAATTTTTTTCAATACACGTGCTATCTCTCTCTATATCTCTTTCTCACACACACACACACCATACACACAGGCATAAACAACACTCCGATAGTGAACTGTCTTTCCCCATACATATTGCAATTTTCAGAATATATATATATATATATATATATATATATATATATATATATATATATATATCAATGACGTGAGTGATAGGAAAGAATAATAAGCAACGAAAAGGAAAAACAAAAAATACAAGTTATGAAAAAGACAAAGAGAAAAGAAAAAGAGATAATAAAAAAAAAAGAGTAAAACCAAGAATAAAAGAGAACAAGATAAAAAAGAAAAGAAAAGAAATAGACCAAAAAGAAAAGTGAGAGATTAAACAAAACTAAAAAGAGGGATCATATCAAGGGAAAAGAAAATTTTTGTGAAATAATAATAAAATAAAGACAATAATTCTTTCAATAATGAAAGAAACAGCAAACAGAAAAATGTCAACGTAGGAAGAAATTATAATTTCTTTCTGCAGAACGAATTGAAAAAAAATAGTGAATAAAATCAAAGCATGTCGTAACGGTGGCCAAATGATGCCTTCAGCGAAAACAAAGAATTGATGCGCATTCTAATTTCTTGCTTCCAGGCCACCTACAATTTAAATCGGAGTTTCATACGTTTTGCATTCTTCAGGTGCAATTTTTTCGGTTAATACCGCTTCTATAATATTTCTGTTTTCGTGAGATATTTTATTGTAGGACTGGATTATTATTGTTGTTAAAATATTTAAATGAATTGTAGTTTAATTTTGGATTCGAATTTAGGCCAAAAGTATCATTTAAGTTTGAAAATAAGTTTATAAATAAGAATTGTAAATTCTAATTTGAAGAAACGCTGTTGTAATCAAAAGAAATGAATAAAGAAAAACGTTTAAAAATCAAGTCGTGGGGAGGAACTCTTTTTTCCATGATAATCAATAAAGTATTTAATAATAATAGTCATTGTAATAGTAATAAACTAAATAAGCGTCATGATATAAAATATGCCGTGGTTAAATAAAATTAAAATTACAGTACTAATAAAAATAATATATATCAATGAAAATATAATAATATAAAATAAGATAAAATAAAATAGAAAGATATATGTAAATAAATAGAGCAAATAAATAATAAATGCAAAACAAACTAAATAAGTATATAAACACGTTAATAATAGTAAGACTAAAGGTAGGGAAAAAAGACAAAACAATGATAACAAAAAATGTAGAGGTAAGATAATGGAAATAATGGATTAGAAAAAATAGATGTATATTAAATTTAGCAAAATATAAAAAAATAATAAAGATAAATAATATCAATAATAGTATATATGGTCCCGGGTCAGGCTAGACTATACTAATTTGGGTCAACTTGTGTGAGTAGAAATTTCGATCTATGTAAGTAGCGTATCATTAACTCATTTCTTTTGTTTAAGAGGTTAGGATTGTTTTGTTTTGTTTTTTTGTTTGTTTTTTTTTTTCAGGATTATTAATATTTCGGAAAGACATAATTTACATTTGCTGCCTTTCACAGTGAAGGGCTTAGATTTCATTACTATTTCCCAAGTGATAACAGGGTTTAATTCTCGCTTTTCTGTTACCAGAAATAATTAGAGAGGGCAATGCTTTTACTATATCTGATAGTACCTAATGTCGTTTGGTGGTGTTAAAAGCTCAATTTCCAATGATTTTTCCGTAGAGCCCAAATAAAACTTGGCTCCGTTGTCATTTTGATTTCAGCTTTATAAAATAACGATTTAGGCATTCATTTGCCGTTTCATGGGCAAAGTTTGTTTTTTCTGCAGTTAGAATTATTAGTGGTGGGATGTTGCTGTCTTGAAGGTTGTTGAAGTATCTTTTTATAATAGAACAGTGGTGCTGGGCTATTTTACTTGTTGATGCTTGTAGCACAACTCGAGCTAACTTTGACCTTGTTTTTGTTGCAAATTTATTTCGCGTGATATTAAATGTTATGTGTTATATTGCCATAATATTATATATTATAATATTCTATTACACAACTCGTTATTTAATATTGAGCACTGTTTGTATATCTATATATATATATATATATATATATATATATATATATATATATATATATATATATTCATTTGTATACGAACGCTCGCTCATACTTTTACCTATATTTAACCATTTGGTCATATATATATATATATATATATATATATATATATAAAGAAAGAACATCAAGATATATAATCCGGTGTTCTTATAGATATTTTTATTTTTACAAAATAGTGTTCAATGTAAATTTACAGAGCATTAATATTATAAATTAATTGATTTAAAATATGTTTTTTTTTTTCGCTACACAGTCCTAACCATATTTCAAAAATGGAAGCTAAAAGTCACGAATTTAATTTTGTGATTAAACTAAAGACATTAGTTCGATTTCATCCTCAAGCGAATTATATATATATATGTGTGTGTGTGTGTGTGTGTGCGTGTGTAAGTCCTGAAGTTCTCTTTTCGTTGAAGAAAAAAATGATCCTTTCTTCTAATGTTTACGGTTAACTATTCCCAACCTACTCGATAAACAATTAGCAATGTGAATGTAGAATTTTATTCAACTACACCACAGAAGGCAGCAAACCCCTATAGATGAAAGTTACTCGAATTTGAAAATTTGAAATTAATAACTGTACGGTGTTTTCTATTTTAAAGTAATATTTTTGAAAAGGAAATAGAAAAAGAATTACACATACACACGCACACATACACAGACACAGAGGGTGGAGGATCAAGTTTAATAAGAAAGAAAGGTATAAAATAACAATTTTTTCTCCCCAAGATTTAGACTCAAGTGTGCGGAAAAGAAGAGCATTTGGCTAAGACTGGCACTTAGAGAGAACTGAAGTCAGTAAAAGCAATTTATTATAAATGATACAAATACGCAGACACACACACTTTACACACGTACAAACATTACAAAAAAGGCTTTGTACGTTTATTTCCCGACACGAAGAATCACAATAAAAATGCATATTAACACATTCGAAATACGCCAAAAGACAATCGATCAAATTTTTTGCAGGTTTGTGTTACAAAAGGCGGACAAATGCACGTAGGATGCCATGTTTTTTGTTGATGTGTACGAATGAATTTTGCGCTGAGATAGTCATAATTCATCTCCAGCAGAGACGAGCATATACGAATAACAATGTGGACTGAAAGAAAACTTGAAATTACACAGAAAAGTAATTACACTGCGTAATAAAAGAAAATCTGTCAAAATATCACATTCTCTACACACCTAACTCTATTATAACGTCAGGTTTTTTAGTAGATGGTATATATATATATATATATATATATATATATATATATATATATATATATATATATCAACAGATGTACGCACGAAAGGGGTTAACAATTTTGGGTTACGATAGAATTGAAAAAATTCATGGTTATGTATTTCGATTTTAGAAAGTGGATTGATCGAGAACTCACACTCACGAAAACATACGTATATATACGCACACACACACACACACATATATATATATATATATATATATATATATATATATATATATATATATATATATATATATTTTGAAAACGGTACAAAAAGCGTATTAAGGCATTAAAACAAGAAATTTTATGTTGTAGGCCATGATAGATTTAAAACAAAACACGCACCAGTCGACCGGTCGACTGGTGTATATATATATATATAAGTCAACATAGAAGTCAACACTTAGAAGCGACAGTCTGTTTCATGCTAGATGCAATCAGTGGCCTGACGATTACATCTAATCGTGTGTTTTGTTTTAAATATATATATATATATATATATATATATATATATATAAAGCAACTTGCACCGCTACTTATCGGCTAATCGATTTTTACAACGGAAATGGATCTTCAGGTCCTAAGTGCTGTTTTTCCTTCATGGAAACATGTAGAAAAATGAAAAAAAAATGTGTTCACCCATTTCCAGTCGTATACACAAATGCTCTGATGTGTTCAAATACATCAGTATAAAATATCAAAACGTTCAATGTCGTTATATCACTTTTTCCTATAAGATAAAATAAATATGGGTGATGAAATAATGAAACACCTCTCATATTCTAAAAGGCAAATGAACTCTGCATGACGGCGGCCTTCAATTCTCTGTGGTTCTAGCTACACCCGGTGCGATCTGCATGTATATAATCTTATTACAGTTACCTCATGTGACAAAGAATTTTCCATATACCTTCCCCTCCATTATTTCTTTGATATAACATAATAGTGTAGAAGGGATGTGGTTGCAATAAAGGCTGATAAAGTTTGCCGGCTGTGAAACCAAACACAGTGTGATTTCTCCGGTAAGGTTTGAATATGCGTCCCATTTTTGCCCTTGGTCAATTTCATTTCCGAAACGTAAACAAAGCAAATTCTAAAGAAATAATGGATTTATTTTTAATCCAACTGTTTAATTCTTTTTTACATTTTTATTAGATGATATGGGCTTTCAGAAAAATCTGAAAGAGAGGGTGTACATTCCTTAAAAGGCTAAATAGAAGCTTTCAGTGAACGAGCGGTCCAAAGAACAGTGGCTTTTCCTACAAATTCTTCAAATACTGTCGGAGTGCACATTTTCTTTATTAAGTTTATTCGATGGCAATGGCCGCTACATGCATTACACAATATTTTGAAAAAAATGGGGAGCCTATTTAAAACACAGGCATCCATTAGAAATATCGGTTGAAGAAATAATAATTGTGAATTAAAAATAAACACACACACACATATATATATATATATATATATATATATATATATATATATATATATATATATATATATCAACATAGAAGTCAACACTTAGAGGCGACAGACTGTTTCATGCTAGATGCAATCGGTGGCCTGACGATTACATCTAGCATGAAACAGCCTGACTCTCATTTAAAAATATTGAAAAATAGTAAAGAATACGCCTCATTAGCATAAACTTTGTTCCGAAACAAGCGATTGGGTAAAAATAGGAGATAGAAACATTCCGCTGTGCCAATTTCTTAATTGGAGACGGTCAATTTTCTTTAAGGATCATTATTTCATATCTTTGATTTTTCCTTGAATTTAATGAGATGACGAAATATAAAATCCCTTGACACAACATTAAAAACAATCATAAAAATGAAACAGAAAAAATGTCGTAAATGCAATTACCATATTTTAATAAATAATCAGATTGATGCATACTTATACAAACACCTATACACATAGTTACACAAACAACTATACACATATTACATATGAGTATTCTTACAAACTGTAGAAATATATAATAAGTACACACACAATTATATGAGTGAACGCACACATATATACACATGTATCCACTCACATCCATACGTATTTCTATATACATAAAGATAAGTTTAGGAAACTGTACCAAGGTACGGATTTATTGACTGCCTCTTGTGTGCATAGACAGATAGATAGATAGATAGATAGATAGATAGATAGATAGAAATAATAAGATATCAATATTACTTCACTCATAAAACAATTACATTGGCATAAACTGATACGTTGATATAATACACACACTTTCTCTCTACCACTCACGATATCTCTCTAACTTACTCTCTCTTTCATTCTCTCTCTCTCTGTTACATATACAGACACACAGACAGATAGATAGATAGATAGATAGATAGATAGATAGATAGAAATAAGAAAATATCAATATTACTTCACTCATAAAACAATTACATTGACATAAACTGATACGTTGATATAATACACACTTTCTCTCTACCTCTCACGATATCTCTCTTACTCATTCTCTCTCTTTTT